AATGTGCATCAATAAAACATTTCACAGGCACGTATTTTTCCCTGAAACATTCAGTTCACTTTTTATATTTATTAGGACAAAAGCTTGTAGTTAAATTTGCACTTGTAAAGAATAAGGACATTTTTCCCTTATGGAAAGTAACCATGGAAAACGAGACATAAATAATACGAAGAGTCAACAGAAGTTGGCTTGTTGAAGTTTAGAAAAATTAATTGCTAAGTTGTGTAGGGCCTCTCTAAAGAAGATGAGCACATCTATAAAGGATATATGAAATTATAAGTAAACTAGAGGCCCGGTGCACAAAAATTCATGCACTGGAGGGGTCCCTCAGCTCAGCCTGCCCCCTCTCATAGTCTGAGAGCCCTCAGAGGATATCCTACTGATGGCTTAGGCCCGCTCCCCATAGGCCAAAGCTGAAGTCTGGCCTCCCTCAGCAGGAGGCGACAGAGCCGATCAGGGGAAGTCGCCACCCCCATCACTCTACTGCTGTTGCCACTGCTGGCTGCCACAGCTGCTGGCCCTTGGACCTCCCGGCCCTCAGTCCTGGCTTCTTAGCACTGGCCCAACCCCCTGACCACTGGTGGGTGGGGGCAACTGGGGCCAGGCCAGCTGTGGGAGGGACTGTGGGAGGTTGAGGCACAGCAGGTCGCATCCCGTCCAGCCTCTGCAGAAGTGTGACACTGGGACCGGGCCTGTGCCGCTGCCTCTGCGGGAGGGGCAGCACGGGGACCGGGACTGCTCAGCCCCCACTCCTGCGTTGCCTCTGCAGAAGGGGCCGTGGCGCTGGACCAACCCATGCCAAGGCCTCTCCTGCACCACTTCTGCGAAAGGAGCCATGGTGCCAGCCCACGCCGCTGCCTCTCCTGCACTGCCACCTTTCCTTTGTCGCCAGCCCTCTGCCTTCGCCGCCACTGAGGCTTTGTCCAGAAGGACATCCAGAAAGACATCCAGAAGGACGTCTGGAAGATGTCCAGTCTATCCAGTCTAATTAGCATATTACCCTTTTATTAGTACAGATTCCTAGTAATAATTGTAATGAAAATAAGAAAGCAAAATCGTAATTTTGATATATAAGAGATAAATACATATATTCACAAATGTTCAAAAAACTTATGCAATACATTTTCTCATTTATTTTATAAAATTCCCTTATCTGTGGGAATGGAGCTGTTTATTTCCTGAAGTTTTTTCTTATACATAATGTATTTCTTTATTATAATAGTAAGTGCTGCATTCTTTTTTATAGTTTAGTAGAGGCCTGGTGTACAAAATTCATGCACTAGGGGGAGGCGGGGGGGAGGGAGGGTGTCCCTCAGCCCAGCCTGCACCCTCTCCAATCTGGGACCCCTTGGGGGGTGTCTGACAGCCAATTTAGGCCCCATCCCATAGGGATCGGGCCTAAACCGGCAGTCGGATATCCCTCTCATAATCCAGGACTGCTGGCTCCTAGCCACTCGCCTTCCTAGCTGCCTGACTGCCCTTAACCACTCTGCCTGCCAGCCTGATAGCCCCCTAACTGCTCCCCTACTGGCCTGATTGACACCTAACCACTCCCCTGCCGGCATAATTGACATCAAACTGCTCTCCTGCTGGCCCAATTTCCCCCAACTGCCCTTCCCCTGCCAGCCCAATCACCCCCAACTGCCCTTCCCTGCAGACCTGCTCCCCCTTATCTGCCCTCCCCTGCAGGCCATCTTGTGACATGAGGCTGTGAGGGTCAATTTGCATATTACCTCTTTATTATATAGGATTGGTGTTAGTTTTGTCAGTAATACATAGTAAACTTATCTAAGTCTTTTCTTCATTGTTTTGAATTATAATATTATAAACAAATTGGCTAAATTTGATTTCAAAACTACAAGTTACATTAGCTGAGTTTAGCTAATTGTCCTGTTTATAATATTGAAGTGGTTTAATTTTTTCAGAAATTTTGACATTGGATAGATGACACTGTAACATTGTCTCATATGAGAATTCTGGTTTAGACCTTTTCCACTGACTGTGTCAGTATGCACTTATAATTTTCTAACTTGCCTAATGGGAGCCTATTTATTTTTTAAAATAAGACTTATTTTGGAAATGTCAAAATCAAAATCATGTCTTATAATAAATGCAGCTCCTAAGTACATGAATTTAAAGTTATAATCTATTTTACTTATGCTTATGGAGGTAAGTTTCTGAGGCTTTATATTAATTTGAAGGTAGGATTGATAAGTTTAAAATGGATACTATCACTAAAACAAAAAAAAGTTATAGAAAATAAGTCGACAAAGAAAACATTAAACATTCGATTAATCCAAAGAAGGTAGGAAAATAGAACAAAATGAAGAAAACATGTGACAAGTAGAAAATAAATAGTAAGATGACGGATGTGAACCCAATTACATCAATACTCATTTCAAATATAAATACCCCAGTAAAAAGCAGAGATAGTTGGATTTAAAAAAGGAGACCCAGGTATATGCTGCACAGTAGAAATGCATTTCCAATACAATGTACAATTAGGCTGAAAGGCTGAAAGTAAAGGATGGGGAAAACATATATCAACATATTACTAATCAAAAGAAAGCTGAAGTACCTCTATCAATACCCATAAAGTAGATTTCAGAGTAAAACATATTATCCAGATAAAGAAGGTCATTTTCTAATGATAAAGGAGTTATTTGAGCAAGAGAACATTACAATTCTAACTACTCATGCATCTTTTTTTTTTTTATATTTTATTGATTTTTTACAGAGAGGAAGGGAGAGAGAGAGACAGTTAGAAACATCGATGAGAGAGAAACATCGATCAGCTGCCTCCTGCACACCCCCTACTGGGGATGTGCCCGCAACCCAGGTACATGCCCTTGACCGGAATCGAACCTGGGACCTTTCAGTCCACAGGCCGACGCTCTATCCACTGAGCCAAACCGGTTTCAGCTACTCATGCATCTTTTAACAGAGCTTCAAAATACATCAAGCAAACACTGCTATAACTGCAAGGAGACATTCTCAATTATAGTTGGAGATTTTCACATTGTTCTCTCCGTAATTGAGAGTATAAGTAGATAAAAAATCAGTAAAGATCTGGAACACCTGAACAACACTATCAAGTAACTTGGCCAACATAGCACAAAAGTTTTACATATATTTCAGACTAAGATAATGAAGTAAAATGTGTTAATATGAAATTTTCTAGTCTATTAAGGAAAAAATTTTAAATTATTCACATATAATCATTAAATCACATGCTTAATGTAAATGCAGACAAGTATTTCACACCACAGTGGTTTCACCATATTTTTCTTTATACCTCTTCCCAAATCATCCTATATAATGATTTCACTATTATAAATGTGCTTTCTACTTATTATAAATGTACTTTTTAGACATGGGTTATGGATGAAAATACTTATCTACTTTAAAATTAATTTCAAGAGTTGTATAATTTATGAAGTTTATAAATCTTCACCTTATGGAACATAAATATTTTCTATGCATCAGACTGCCTACTGTAAAATGTGAAAGACAGGAAATGAAATCATTACTTGCAATAAATGGTGGCAGATATTTGTCTACAGCTCAAAAATAAATTTGAACAGAGTTTTACAAAATACCCAATATTAATTCAATCTAAGATACCACTATTTATAAAACATGGCATTATTTTATATTCTAGAAAATAATAAGTGCTGCCAATTAAATTGTGACATTGCAAGGTACAACAGTTTCTTAGATGGCAAAATGTGTGTGTTCTGAGATATTCAATGAATGTATCAAGAAGCTAAGTGAGTTTGCTCTAAGATGTTAAAAGGTAAATAGATGTGGCTTTCCTACCTAACCTAAAACATGGTCCTCTAAAACAGAGTTTGTGTGAACTGAATTCAGACTCTGTTGACTCGCTTAAATAGCCATTGCAGGATTAGAATTTCTAGAAAAATTTATAAGTGTTCTGCCAGAATACTTGAAGAAAAAAGATATTCTCAAGTCTCTATTGGCTAATAACACAATAGCAGGAAGAGCTATTATATAAAATGAAAAAAAATCATTATTAACTCAGAAATACTTAATGTGTATAAAATTGTTTTATATGTTCACCCAGATCCTTAAACAAAGATATTTTGTTTCTGTTGATGTTCTCAGAAAGCTAGAGTTATTTGCAAAAAGGCTCCAAGCAATGAATTAATTTCAATTTCATTAGTCCAGCTGAGGCCATATTTTAATATTTGACTCAACTAATTATTGCTATTACCCCAGAGCATGTCCATTCTCCAGGGTCCATAAAAATCCAGACCAGTAGATACCAGAAAAAGTTGTTCAAAATGGTAACAACTTTTAGAAAAACAATTAGAAATTATATGGGATAGAATTGTATGGTGCATTAATATGTATCTGTTATTGTAATATTAAAATAAATTATACAGGTCAAAAATTAAACAAATATATGAATCAAAATTCAATTTAGGAAGTTGAGCAGAGGAATGTCCTATATTTTAATTTTGATGAACTAGTACAGGAGTTGAAATTTGTATATTTCTAAAATTCCTAATTGTCAACATAATTAATAAAACACATTTAAAAATATTTTAGTTAATGTTTGAAATATTTTTCTTCAAAGAACATTTTTCTAATACCAGTAATGCAGTTTAATAATGAAAATAATAGCATCATGTGTTGGAACAATATTTACATGTGCTTTACGATAAATTAGTTAAGTTTCTATTATGTTTATAAAATATAAGCTGAATCTTACTTAGTTGGATATTAGGTAATTGATAATATAGATATTGCTATTAGTAAAGTAATTTGTTTTTCTACAGGTTGCACTATTACCATATTTGACTATAAACTCCTTTACAGTGCTATTCTTTAAAGCTTTTTATCTAACATACATTTTTCAATGCATGTGGCCATTATTTTCATTGCATATATATTATATATAAGCAGTTCATTCAATCAAACTGGGATACAATTTGATCCTCCACCTCAGCATATTATAAACCACATGGATGACTTACCTTATCTTTTCTTTGTTTTTCATCCTGGTATACAGTCCAGTGCTCTCCATCATTGCTGTAAGCTAGTTTGTAGGAGCCTACGAACTGTACATGACCAAAATCTTTAGCTCCTTGTGTAATGATGCCAGTCACTTTGGTAGGGACAAGAAGATCTACCTAAAAAAAGGAAAAGACATAATTTAAATGCCACAATAGAGTCCATTTTACATTTGCAAGTCTCTTGAACTCAGGAGATTAAGAAACATATATGCTAAAGGCAAAATTCCATTGATTATATGTAATTTGAAACTAATGACTATGTTTATTAATGGCTTATAATTTGGATTTGCCACTGGGGTAAACAGTTTAAAACTTGATCAACCACTTTGACCATTTTAAAATAAAAAGATGGTCATTTCAGTATAACAATCAATTTTATATTAAACTGATTCATCCAGCTGTGCAGTTTTGTGTAACTCAGACAGTTCCAAACTGGCAAGCTTGACCTTCTTGAGGCTGGTCATTATCTCCCAGAAATTGTATTATAATTCAATTTCCTGACTTTACTGATAAATTCATAATAATAAAGTTGCTATGTACACATCAGAAACAAAAATTGTCTTAGAGTTTCAAAATTAAACATTAAATAAAATGTCAATCCTGTTTCCATGAATTTTAATCAGTTCATCAGTTCATTAATATATAACAAATTAATATATAACAAATTAATAGTAATCATTGTCTAATGAAAATCCCCTTTCAGAAAACTACAATCCTGAAAATATTGAGGAGAAAGTCAAGTATTGTTCAAAGATGAAAGGTGATTAAAATATACATCCATGACTTTTGGAATCTGTGTTTATGATGTGTTTGTTCCTGTAAAATATATACTTAAAGGACAAATATATATAATTAAATACCTATGGTGGTTCAGTAAGCATTAAATTCATCAAACTGAAATACAAAAGATAGGGATGATTTTTATCAAAGGATACATAACATTGAATAATTTAGCATTCTCCCTCTTCATTTCCTAATTCATGCATCTTTTCTTACATCATGTAATGCTCATTAAATAAAAAAGGAACAATTTGTTTCCATGTGGACAATTCTTATAAGACCTTTACTTTTTGTTCCTTAATATTTCTTGATCTATGACTTCCTTTCTCCTCTTACAATAGCCACCTACTTCCTCCTACATCCTATGACTAAGTGCCCTGTTACATCCTTGATCTTATCATCTTTAACTGTCATGATCCCATGTGTGACCTTGGTTGCTTTCAACCACTATGTCCTTTTGTTTCTATTTCAGATTCTCCATCCTGAGATGTTCATAGCCACAAATAGATAGTCATGGGTCAGATACAGGTCATGAATGAGAAGAGAGGGCTAGGAGAATGCATTGAATAGAGCATATTTAATGACATACATGCTCATCAAATAAAAATATGAACAAAGTTCCCAATGTTTCACAGCCTAGAACCATTTTCCTAAAAATTCATATAAACTTTTATTTGCTTTTTAAAACATTCTTTAATTAAAAACACAAGGCTCACATTGAGCTTTAATGATTTATTAAAATACGTTAGAAAGTTTAACAAAAACTACAAAATACTGTGCTCTATTTTTGCTATTTTCCAAGCATGTATTAAAAACCTTGTGCATCCTAGCAATGCAGGGTGGCAAAACTGTGGTAAAATGGGAAGGAAACTGCTTTGCCTCACACTATACTAAGTGCTTTCTTGTATGTGTTCATTGAGCCCCCTCAGCAACCCTGTACGATGGGGTATTCTCTTCACTTTAGGGATGAGGGAATAGATGTCTAACATAACTTGAGTCAAAGATAAACAGTGAGTAAATGAAGGATCCCAGAGTCAAATCCATGTCTTTCTCATTCAAAGTCCCGCCATACATAGAGATTCTCAGTCCATGATCTTTTCCCATTCTCTGTGACTATTTCAGGAATTTCTGAGGCATCTCAAAGCTTTCTCATCACACTCATCAAATTTACAGAAACTCTAAGCCCTAGACAAAAACAATCCTGGCTTTACAATACTGGGATAGCAGCCCTGTTTTCTAACACGAATTTCCACTCTGTTCTTCAGCTGTTGGAGCTTAAAAATATGGATTGCTTTTGTCCTAATTCCAAATCTAATTGTGCTGAGACATGTAGACATAGCTGCTGGTCTTCAAAGTGTACTTGATGCTGCTAACACTCAATAAATGGAAACACACACACATTCATTCACACTCTCTCTGTCTCTCTTACAGCGCTCTGAGTCAATGTTTGCCGTCAAGGCTATAAACACACAAGAACTCAAACTGCCTCCAAGAACATGAACACCTCCAGGGTGAGATTCCTCACTCCCTAAACTTCCTATATAGTCGTTAGCTGACATGACACAGTGAGGAGACTTATAGCATCTCTTTTTCTGTAGCGTTTCTTAGAGTCAGCGGGGCTTCCTGCGGGGAGATGTTTTCTCTTTCCGTTGTATGTCTTGGCTCTTTCTAACAGATAGGGTTTTCTCCTGCTGTAACTGCTCCCCTTCTCCAGTTTTTTTTTTTTTTAAATTTAGGAATGTTTTTCTTTTTTTTTTTCTTTTGCAGTTAAGTCAACTTCTTGACTTAAATAGTCACCAATCTGTTTCAAGTTGGATCTTGTCCTAAAATTTGTTACATTTACCTTAGAGTATCAGGCTTAAGCAAACCCCTTTTCACTATAAAAATAATCAGCACCCCACACATGTCATGAGGTTGCTGCAACAGGGCATATTCAGATCTCACTCTGAGACAGGCTCATGCACATATCACCCTCATGCTCAGCACGCAGGAGCATCCCAGAAAAGCCCGTTCCTCTGGACCGGTGCTTACCCCGAGCCCAGGACCACTCTGCGCTCTTGCAGATCTTCTGAGTTAAAGTTGTACTGCAAACGTGTTGGACAAAGTGCCTTCTGCTATTTCAAACCCTCACCTCTCAAGGTTTGGCTCAAGTAGAGCAGGTTATTTAGGGCTCTGAGCTGGCACATGGGTAGACTTGTGGCTTTGGTGCACTGCACTTCCTATCTGGATCTGTATTAAATATGCCTTGTAAGTAATGGTTCCTCAATAAAGGTTTTGCTGGATCGAGAGAGAACTACTTCCTAAACATGTTCCATGGACAAGAATCAACCTATGGCTAACGGTGCCACAATGTCACATAACAGACAATGCTAATGGCCTTTCTCTCGTTTCTCCACCCGGGATTATATTACTGGTCAAGGAAACACAATGTCATGGTGGTAACAACCAATTTTTAGTGGGAAGGCAACTGGTTAAAACTGCCTCTGATCTTCAGGAATGTGATTGTGAGAGGCAGCACATACTAGTGGAGCGGTGGTCTGCTTCCCAATCCACTCTGCCCTTCCTAGCTATCTGCCCCTGGGCAGGTTACCTTACCTCTCTGCATCTCAGTTTCTTCATCTGAAAAATGAAGATAATAGTCCACAGGATTTATGTGGATTTGATGAGTTAATATGTATTAAGTGTGTAAAATAATATATAGAATATAGTCAGAGCAATATAAGGCTTTGATAACAAACAGCAAATAAATCTGAGGAAAGAATCTAGTATGAGTTTTTGAACAACTTATTAGAAGCATAAATACAGAAATAGAAAAACTGGTGGCCAGATTGTCCTAAGAGCAACTTCTGGATTGTAGTATATTTTGGTCACCTTCTCAGGATATATACAAAGACAGTTGTTTTATTTTTACTTAAAGTAGAGAAAATTTGAATCAACTGAAATTCCCATTCATGTATAAAATGCTTAGCTAAACATAATATAATTAATTGTATGGAATGTTGTGCACCCCCACTTGAATATTGATTATATTACAATAGGGAATGGCTCCGAAATAATATTAGAAGAGAAAATTATATTATACATTATAGCGATTTTTTTCTTTTAATTGTAAGTGTGGAAAAATGAGAGAATAGATACATAGAGAAGCTCAGATGATATATGAGTATTGCAAGAGGATTATGTAGGAATATAACTTTTTTTTATTGTAAAACGTCCTGTAATTTCCTAGCAAAGCATATTTGGAGAGTCTAACTTAGAAAAACAGTGTAGAATAACTAAGAGCATTTATTTGAAAAAGGTCAAGATAAGCTACATTTCAAATAACTGCATAACACCCTGACAGATGGCTCCCTGGAAGAAGATAGGGAAGACTAGGAAAGTCATGATTTTCATGGAGCTGTTTCTAAAGGGTGATGAAAATGAAAAGTGCTACAGATCAATAAGTGTGTAGAGAGTGAAGAAAAAGGCCAAAGAGATTTATCACAGAAATATGCCAGCCAGCTGCATCTAAAATGCTCTAGTTTTTGCTTTTAGGTTGCATCAATTATTTTGGATTATATATTTTATAACTTCATGGAGATTTGCAAAATTAACTCATTAAATAGAAATAACTTTGAATCTAAGAGGATAATGTAGTATTTAAAATAGAATTATGGGTAAAATATTTAGGTAACATTTTGGTTTAAACAAAGAATTTTCACCTCAACATTACATGAAACAATTGTATATAATCCTAGCTATGTTAAAGCACATAATTAATTGAATTTGGCATTTGAACAATATTGTTAGTTATCAGGTGTTGGTTATGCTTTCAGTCCATATTTTCAGTAGTTAATGTCATCAACTTATTGTGAACTATTTTCCAACTCCTTATCCGATATGCTTTAGTAACTCTAAGGTTATGGGTTCAGAACCTTAAAATATTATATGAGGCCTGATAAATCCACTCATTCTAACACTCATGATTTGCATTCCTCCCTTTCTAAAAAAGTTTTAAATTCCAGTAATATTTTAAAACTTTTACAATAGCAATTGCTTTTTCCCTATGGAATTTTAAAACTATGACCACTTTTACAAAAGAAAAAAGATACCATAAAATAACCTTTCAAAGGACAGAGGGAATTTACAGTTTTACTGATGTTTTGCAATGTGGCTTTTACATGTGAAACCATTATAACATGTGTATAGTGTCATAAACAAGCTTTCCCAGCCCAGGTGATCACCCAGGAGTGTGTTTTGTAGGACACCTGGCATATTGTAGACATTCCAAATATCCAGGCATCATCTGCCCTCAATTCAAAATTGAGATTATTCTTTACTTAACAATTACCTGCAAT